AAAAAAAAAAAAAAAAAAAAAAAAAAAAAAAAAAATCTACACAGTAGATGTTTCAATTATCTACCAATGGAATGCTGGTCAAAATAATAGCTATGGGGAAAGTAACCACGCTTGTCTAAGAACCCTAAAAGAAAGTAACAATGCCACCTTATTCTTCCTTCCACCTTTAGCTTCACGATACAATTAAGAGAAGTGGTTGTTTTCATAGGTTTGAATCTCTGCCAGAACATCAAGGTGTTATGTCTGTTTTACTAAGAGAACCAGCAGGCCCCAAGAATCTAAGAGGCAAAAATGCACTATGCCCAAGCTAGTTAGGGTGCTGTTTTCCAGAAACAAAGGTCTTATTTTTGGTGTAATTCTAGCACTTTCACATGGAAGCAAGAGGATAAGGAATTCAAGGTCACTCTCAAATACACAGCAAATTCCTAGTTCAGTTTTAGCTATGAGACCCTATTTAGAAAAACAAAAGAGAACAAAACAAAATCAATACTTTTTTTTCTTTTAAAGAATACGGAATACTGTTCCCTCCCTGTACAGTCTTTCAGGTTGCTATGCTGTTATTGTCACACAAGTTGAATGTGGCTGTCTGAATAATAATGGTTATGACATTTATCGGTTTATATTGAAATATTAGCCTCAGAGAAATTCAAATGAAAGATGAGTTCTTTCCTTTTTTATTTAATAGGTAAATTAATTCTAAAAGAAGTCAAAGGAATTATGCTTCCTTCAAAATCCTCAGTGGATCCATCCTGAGGATCCAGTGTGGACTTAAGATAAAACCTAATTCCAGGGCCGCACAGAAAAAAAATTAAAGAGCTAAATTACAGAGTTACAAATTTGTACTACTCTTGGAGCCATCCCAAAGGAAAGGGATTAAGAATAGAGCCATAGGCACACCTGTGAATGTATGCCAAAAATAAACTACGGAGCCATAATAAAAACTGACTTCTTTGGGTCTAAGGATTTATCTCTTTCCATGAAATGTAGAAAAATGAATTTAACAATTTAGCCCCTATGGCTGTTAAGAGGATTTTGTACCTCTGTACTTGAAAATTGTGTTCTGGCATAACATGCTCTCTTCTATTTATGTAGTTCATGGATGCCAGGTTTAAGGTTTGCCTCAAGCTGTTTTGTTTTGTTACAACCTTAATTATATCAATTCACTTAATTTTCTAAAAGTATACTCAGATATGAATGTAATGTATATATGCATATATCTATATACACATCCCTTGACTCAGAAGGGTTTCATAGCTTCTGTTCATTTTGACTCCCAGCATACTTTACTAGGTAACATGACATGTTTATTATGACAAACACTTAAATCTAGAAGGTACCTGCTGGATTACTTCACACAGCCCCCTTTATATACATATGAAGACACAGATCCTAGGACATGATGAGACCTACTCAAGGCTGGACAGTTAGTTAAGACACAGCCAGGATGATTCACATGTTCTTGACTCTACGGCAAGTATCACTAAAATTTTAAAACACAAATTTTAAAATAAATAAATTCAAATAAACATTCCATTATGTGCACTGGTTCTAACACCTAAATTTATCTGACATATCCATTTACTTCCCACAGGAATAAAACTTGAAAGATATTTTAATTAGGAGAAGGAGACATTTAAACATAAATTTATTATCTAAGAAACTCCTCAACTGGTACTCAAAAAAACTTTATCAAAGCCCCGTGTGGTGGTGCACAGGGGCACAAAGTAATCCTAGCATTTGGGAGATGGAGGCAGAAAGATGGGGAGTTCAAGGTTGGCTACTTAGTAAATTTCAAGTCAGCTTGGACTACAAGAGATCTTGTCTCAACCACTCTGTACCCCATCCCCAAAAGGTAAATAAAAGACTTTATCAAAGCCCTATGACTACTGAAGACTAATCATATTTTAAAATCTGAAATATCAAAAGTGGGAATAAGGCTTATCTAAAGAAATAACATTAAACACTCATTGTAGTAAAAAGGGGTAGGGGCAGATTAAGTCACTGGATTTCTTTAAGCTAGACAAAGGTTACATTTTCAAAATTTACTAAGATGGTAAAGTCAATAGTTCTCCTTAGAAGTTTATCTATGGTCATTCTGGACAGTTTGCTCTTAATTTCCTTCCAAAGTATTTCTTCCTTCTGGATGCCATAGGCCATCTTAGGTAGATTTAAATCCATGATTTGGTTTCACTCATATTGTGGTGCTGGGGATTGTATCCAGGGTTATGGGCATTCTAAGCCAGTGCTCTACCTGAAGCTGGGCACCTGCTCCACAACTGGATTTTTAAATCCAGAGTTATCAATGAACAATCTGATTAATACATAGTTTATTCTCAACTTAGGTTTATGAATTACAACTTTTAGTATGCTACTGGAAATGACAAAAGATACAAAATCACAGGAGTTAAAATTTTTGTCCATCTTTCAAATGTTACTATCACTTTCCAACTAAACGAGGTAAAGAATCCAAATATGTTACAGCCATGTCTCCGTAGAAGAAAAGTATGCTAAATTTACTTAGGCTTACTTCCAAGCACTCTTGGGACCCTATCTGGAAACAATACCTTTCCCTATTAGCTGTTGTCCTTTTCCCATGCACTGTTAACCTTGTAGCTATTATTCAATTTTCATCCCTAATTCTTCCTCAGTTCCTTACCCATCTTCTGATTGCCTTGAATGACAATACTAAACTGTCCCCAAATCGTAACACTGTCTTAAATATACACGCTTCAATTTAAGGTTCAAATGTTCAAAACGAAGGCAAGAGCTTTTTAAAGCAGCTTCGTCATTAAATTAAGGATGGCTTTATACTTGGGAAATACAGGCTCAGAGAAAACGGGCGAAAAATTTCCTTCATTCAACCCTGAAAAACAGG